TGTGAAAAATGGGTACCCTTCGATTTTGCTCAAATTTAGATGTTGTCTTTCACTACACGTAAGGCACACGTGCTGAGAAAATTAGAGTGGGCCAACGATAACTTTGGATGATATAGCAACAAGTAGTGCAACGTAGCACGGGCGGCGGAAGGGGCCGATTTCGCTAACTCCACCTGTTTATCGCCAATAACTCACGCCATAGCTATTATATTAACGTCAAACTTTCAGTATCTGTGCAGAATAGAATTGCGAATCCTCCCGTGCAAGAAATAGGTAAATCGGTCCACAACTTTTCTAGAAATAGCGGTGTAAAGTCAAACATTCCTGCCGGAGCGGCTCGGCGGCCGGCGCCGGCCGTTGCCGCCTGAATGGTAGACTGTGCCGGCGCGGGACGGTTCCATCTTTGCACCGCGCTTCTTACCGCTGATCATGATCGATTCGTGTCAAATTTTGTGTGAAGGCTTAAAAATGTACAGGCAATCTAATGTTCAAATAAATACGAAAATCAACTGGTAAAATTAAATTATTAGCGTGCAAACAATATGTGACTAACTATGACGTTTCCCGCGTCGGCCGATCCCCGCCTCTACCGGCGACATCTCTTAGCAAGCCACCAATGCCAAATTTATGGTAAGATTAACTGGAGATTCTCATAACACTAGGAATGTCGCATAAAGGAAGAAATAGGAAAATCGGCCAGTATCTCTTAGAGCTATGAGCGTATAAACGCAAAATAGTCACTATAGCAAATTTGATCACGTTTAACCTCATTTGGTCTTGAATAGGTATATTGATCTAGGGCCATGAAATTGGCACACGATTAAGTTCCCCACCGCCCCACATACAATTCAAATTCCGTTTTTTTTTATTCCCTTTTTTGGCTAAACCAGGCTTTTCTCCCCTAGCGCTGGGAGAGTCAGGCGTATTTTCTTTCTGCAACCAAAGAGAGGCGCTGCCCGGAGAATGGCCAATTTCATCATTAAAACTGGCTTACGATGACCAGCTATCTTCGTGGATTAGTAGTAAGTGTGCCGAGTGTACCCACCTCGAAATCAAAAGGTCGCTGGCTCGCAGCGGGTCAGCCTGAAGTGTTAAACACGCCTGGCCAGCCGGCAACTGTCGTGAGGGCTAATGTTCGTATCTAGGTAGCATTTGGCCAGTCGGCAACTGCCGTGAGGGCTGTACATATTTACGCGTGTTAGATTAGGTCAGGTCACGTCAGGTCAGGTTAGGTTTGCTTTGGTTTGGGGTAGAAAGAAGCATCTCCGGGTAGCGCCTCTCCTTGGTTGCTAAAACGAAACAGGCGAGTGCCAGACATTACGAAGTCCAAAAGACAGTTACGTAGACGTCGGCCCATTCTGGATTTTTTATATGATGTAGCTTATGTATAGGAGAATAAAATATGTAAAAATCAGCAAAATCGAAGGGTACCCATTTTTCAGAAAATCAAAATTTATTTTTTGAAATTTAATTAAGTTCACTAATTAGTTAATTACGTCAGTATTGTTATTCTCAAATTAAAGCCTGACCTATTCCCTCCATTTCACACTTTGTCTCGTGGTGATATGTCTAAAACTCCAATGGTTATGACGCTTTAAAGATGATAATGTGCCTTGCCTAAGTCAATGTTTGATGACGTGAATCTCGGAAACGTGACGTCATATCTTGACAAAAATATGTCTCCCCTCTTTTCACATATAGATGAGTAGTTTCACAAAGTTTCGCAAAAATCGGAGGAGGTGAGGTTCAAAATGATCATTTTTTGTCCCACTTGACGTGGAATGCCCCAATGGCTAGATCACGCCGACTGGGAGCGTAGGCTGTGCCGCAGTACACTACTGTCGTGCGGCACAGCGGACTCGCAGGCGTCTGGAGCTCAGCCGTAAATGTGGCACTGTGCGGACTGGTAACCACGGCAAATTGAATCGCATCAGGCGTTTATTGTTCAGGTATATCTGATGAAAACATTTCGCTGCTTTTCGAGCATGCAATTTTCTATTTCACAAACCAAGCATGGTACTTCGATGCATGGTTTTAAATTGTTATCGTTTACTTGCGCCATATAAATTAGGTTCACAGCGGTCAGGCAAAGGTCTTTTTGATTTCATTGCTGGCAAGCATGTCATGATTCAGCCGAAATCTGTTTATTCCGCAATTTCATGCAGCGCATCGCTCGAAATACCTGGCTTGAAGGTCATGGATCCTCCGGTAGCGTCAGAACAGGCGTTAGGCCAGACGCGGCTAGAATTATGTCAACGCTTACCACACTGGAGAAGATTCAGATTTATTTGTACATTTTTATGTTTCTCTAAGTTTCTCTGTTATAGACATTCTGCTCTTCTAGTACCTACATTACAATAATCGCCTTCATACCCATTCGAAATGAACTTTCATCCAGAGACAAAGACAACGCCCACTCGCATTTTCTGGCTAAGCAGTGAAATTATGCATTCAGGACAATGCCATTTTAAGCTACTTAAACATTTAGTGCCATCAGCATATTTAATTCTACTTTGCTACGTCCAGAAATGCTCGCATAAGGCGGCTGATTCTGGTTTGGTTGGCGATCGTGGCATCTTGTAGACCTCTTGGCTTATCATCGTGCCGTTCCCAGTCTGAAGTCACACCTGTGATGTGACATGACAGGACGTTTCACGTGCCCAATGTGCAGGTAAGTCAAGCTGCATTAAATATCAGACTATATGTTGCATACTTGTCCTATTTTAATAGAGGTAAACCGTGTCGTCTTTCCAAGATGGCCTTAATTCTACGGTCTCAACTCTTCATGAAAAATTATAATTGTTTAGCTAACATTTCGTTTTATGTCACGATATTCTAATCAATTGTCAACAATACCATTCGGCTTGTTTTAGTCAGTAGATAGCTTTTTGTAGCTAAAATATTGAACATCACTAAGTGTGAATGAATGATGAAGGTTTTAAATAAAAAAAAATCATAAGCATTCAAAAGACGAACTCTCGCTAGTTTAGTTGTCTACAGTGATGAATACCACACTTTAAAGCGCGCGGATCTAACCCTTTTATTGTGCGTCTTTAAACAAAGGGGAGCGTGAGCGGGGCTTTCTATTCATTTGGCTGTTGGGTGGTTCCCTTACAGCTGAAGTTTTTACTTTATCAGCTGGGAGCTTTCCACCTGACTCAAAGCAGTATTGAAAAGTTTCTTATTTCGGAAATAAGCAAGGCATCCAACAATGATAGCATGCCTGTTTGCGTCGCATGTCTGCGCGTTTCCAATGCACATTTACAACTCATTTGACGCAAATGAGAAACTTCAAGGCTTTGGCAACTTCTATCCTTGTGATAGAATGTCATCCGCAGCTTGTTCTTTTTAGAAATGTCAAGCCAACCGTACAAATAAGTAATCTTAGACATTCAGCAATTGCATTATTTTGTCGTAGAAAACTCAGCATATCACAACTGCCCCCATTGGATCACCTTAAACGCATCTAACACTCACACAGGCCAGATGCGTGACTCCACCTCCCCTCTCCCACGTGTGCCATCTAATCGGGTGAGCCGCAGCCGTGTGCGGCGACCGCGGTCCCACCAGCAACAAGTTGGCCGGCCCAGTGCCGGCGGCCACATTGGCCCAGTGTCACATTGATCCCCAACCTCCGACGAAACGGCCGGCACGCCGACGAAAAATACGGCCGCGTTGCCGGCGCCCCAAGTTGGTGAGGACCGCGCCGCGTCCCGAATATAAACGACACGACGCTGGGCTGCTCTGCTGGTCCGACGCGCTGGTCCGCAGCTCTGGGCCGGCCCGGCGGCGCTGGTCGCTCAGCGCAGCGGCCGGCCGACAGCTGGACGCCCAGATAGATACGGGTCGGGTCGGACTGGCGTCGTCAAATTTCATTAGCGTGGCGCTCGGTGACAGCGGCTGGGGCCGGGCCGTCCGCTGTCGGCTCGACGGAGGCGTCGGCTTCCGGAACGGCGATGGCCGGAGTTGTCTGCTGTCCAGCGGTCAGTCGGAGCCGACTGTCGGCGAATGAAATGACTGTGTTAACTGTTTGCCTGGATTTGAGAGCGCTGCCTGCTCACTGAGCAACAGACGCGGGATCAGCTACGGTCGATGTACTGGAGACGGGATTAGCGATTGTTGCAATATCCGTCGCATGCTAACTTGCAACGCAAGGCTTACATTGTGAGCTGGTAGTACAGTTGCGACGATCTAATCCAACATCCATTTTTAGATTAAGAAAAACATAGGTAACTGTTGGAAAGTCACCATGGTCGTGGATGAAATCTTGGCAATGAAGTTCCTCAGTTTGCCGAGCTGGACAATAGAAATGTTCCACGTTGTTTTAGTTACTATAGCGTCAACTTGCCATCTCGACCGAGCGTGGATTAATCTGGGCCATTTTCAGCTGTCAGCCAGAATCAGTCCAACGCTGATAGGACTATGTCTTCAATCGTGCAGCCAATTTCAGTGATCAGTTTCTACAGAAGAACCATTCTTTTTCAAAGGCTGCGGCAGTTCACCAGTCGAAAAGAAAGTCGGCGTGTTTTATCTACTGATAGGCTATTACTGGAAGCACAAATTACCTTTTTCACAAGACCCTAGGTTTGGTTTTGTTTTTACTTCTCAACCTTTAGGGTGCTACAATGTCGTCTCCTTCTTCGGTGATTATTATCGCGTTCTAGGTAATCTGCTTGCTCCTTTGACCCGCGGCTATCTTTAGTGTACCGACTTTGTGCCTCTACATTTTTTTTTAACGGACTCAGAATTACTTCAACGAAAGTACAAGTCGTTTTCTTTCTTGCATCACTGACACTGCTCATGTTTTGCGCTTGCTCTGGAAATTGCCGTCCGACACCGCCCCACACCAGCACCCCACTGCTCACTGGACGGCTGTAAATTATTGTCTCTCTCCCGCTGTCATATCCATTCGTCATCGTCCTCTCTTCCTCCTCTCCATCACCCCTCTCCCCCACTCTAACGCAGAGTGCACCCCACTCACCTCCCCCTCTGGCCCACAGCCAAAACGACAGTGAGGTGATTTTCCACGACGCGGCCTTCCTGAACATGACTGAGGTGGGCTACGTGTGGATCGTCACTGAACAAGCTCTGGCCGCCAGCACGGTGCCCAAAGGTGTGCTGGGGTTCCGACTTAGCGCCTCCGACGAGACCAAACACATCAAGGATAGCTTGTGAGTACCTACCGCGCTCTCCATAGAGGAGGGAGGGCTCTGAGAGGGACGGCTGAGGAACAGAACGCTCGGCGAGGACGCCTGGCGAAAGTAGGTGCATAAAAGAGAATCGGAATTAGATGAGAGAGCCAAATGGATGCGAACTTGCGGCGTAAAAGGCGACAGAATGGAAATGGGGACAGATTAGGAATATAGATGCGCTGCCAAAGTACAGTTTGTTCAGAACTGTCGTTAGCGCCGGTTGTTATTTATCGACATTGAAATGTTGATTAGTCAGCTTTTAGCCTCACCTTAGGTACGGGCAAAACTGTAAAAAGTTGCTGTAGCGCTGAATGTAGATGTAGATTTTACATGTACATTCAGCGCTGTAGAAGGTTGATGTTGATGATTGTCCCGGTGATACATGACACCCACTCATGACCACGTCGCCATTCGAGGTCAGCCAAGCTTATCGGGCCCATTTATCCTTCCTGGCATGCCTGTGATGCCGATGCACATCGGGAAGACGTAGTAGCCGCCGTGATGTATGCATGTGTTGTTGCAGCTCTTGATCAAACTTAATAACATGTAAAACCAGCCTGATGTTTTGAACACACAGTCGTTCATCATCGCGTAAGTTTTTTACTACCAAAAAGTGACAGCTACGAGATTGAGATGGCCGCTCGTGGTAGTTATGTGCTGATTACATGTGGTTATATGGTTTTGCAGAAACTGGAACATAAATCATCAGTCCTTGAGAGAACTTGATGCGATCTGTTTTTCTTTTATATTGAAGTTAAGAGGAGTGTGTTGATGGGTGGGTATTACCGATGTTCGTTTTTATGCTTTTATGTCGTTTTGCGTGCAAAGTTTTCAGAATAATTTCGTTTAAAATTATTCCACATTTGTTTCATTAGGCCCCTATGCCAGACATCAAGAACTTTTTTATCTGAGTCTCAGTTAGAGCGCGACCAGTCGAATGTTGCCACCCCATGTACAAATTGAGAAACAATATTTTTTACTGACGCGTAAAATAGCTTGGTAAGAGCGCTTAGTAAGAGGCGAGGGTAGAAACCCTATGAATTTCTGCCAGGTCATTTCCCTGTCCAATGCTTACATCTCTGCTGGACCTCTATCCACGACTCTATAATCCATCTGGCGCCGGGTCAGGCAGCTACCAGACCCTGCCTCGATAGCAGCTCGCGGGATGGTCATCTTCTGAGCGGGTGGCGACAATAAAACCCCGTTTCATCGGCGCTTTCCATGCGCGCCGCGCCCGGGACCGTCGTTTGTTCAATCGGCCTGATCGGACCCCCGGGAGCCGAATGGGTGGGGGCGGGGCAGTCTGACAGGTCATGTGTCAATCGGCGCCCTCCGCCGCCGCCCCGGCGCACGGCGCTGGCACCGGCCGCCGCCCGCCGGCACCGGCACCGCTCGCCGCGCCCGGCCGGATTGGGAGCCTTCTAATGACCAGAGCAGGCCGCTCTGTCAGCGTCCAATCTCGGCCATCTCCCAAATCGACGCCGCTCGTGAAGAGAATGGCCAAAGCGGTGTGTGATCGAAGGGGCTCGCCAGAAAAATGTATCGGCTCGGACGTATTGTGGCCGCCGCGGCGGAGAGGCCGGCCCGGCCGGGCTGGCCCGCGCGGCAGGATATTGCCGCACGGTGGCATTTTCGTATGGCCGCTCCGCTCGTAATGAGGTAACGATGCCCGTCACATGTTGTTGATGATAGCGCCATTTTTAATAACATAAAATTAAATCCCGCTGGCGACGAGATCCATCAAGCTATAATACTTACTTCGTAAAATTTTCTCAGGATATGGCCCATGGACGTCGACAAGTCTATTTTATCTAATTTATATCCCGGTCGCTTATAACTGAGCGTTGTGGCGGCTCTGTATGCATCACACGAGCTAGATAACGATGTCTATTTGGGCCCGGGCGCGCCCAGACAGGCGCTGCTGTAGAGCCCTGGAAGCGCCGGCAGCTCTGCATGCACTGCCCGGCCGTAGTGCGTCATAGGGCGCCGATCAGGCGGCTGTCTTCTCCGGGTGTCTCGCTGGCAGCGTGTGTGATCGCCGCCAAGACGCGCAGAAGAGCCGTCCGCGTGACGCGTGTCTCCTGTGACCCGAGAACAGAAGGTGGCGTGGGATAATTGACTCGGTATCGTGTGCGTGTCAAACGAATGAGCGCACCGCTGCCGACAGAGATGGAGAGGGGAGGAGGAGAAGATGAGAAGAGAATTGGGTGGAGAGAGAGAGAGAGAGAGAGAGAGAGAGAGAGAGAGAGAGAGAGAGAGAGAAAAAAAGGGAAGGGGAGATAGAAATAGAGAAAGAGAGAGAGAGGGAGAGAGATGGGAAATATAGAGAGAGGGAGAGAGAAATAGAGAGGGAGGGGGAGAGGAGGGAGGAAATGGAGGGAGAGAGAGAGGGATGAGAGGAGACAGAGAGGCAGAGAGAAAGAGTAACAGAAAGAGAGAATTGATTCAAAAACTTTGGTAGTGTTTAGAGTAAGGGCGATGATAAGAGGTAAAATGTGAAAACTCTTCCCGCGGGCGGGCGGTGGCGGAAGTCGGGCGTCAGCTGGTGCGGAACGAGTCGAGTTTCGCCGGGTATGGCTCAACTTTGGCTGCGTTAATTCTGCCGGTGCGGGAAAGAAACTAACCTGTGCCGGCCTCTGGCAGCTGCTCACGTCACGTCGCTGTCAATGGCGGAATGGAAGACTATTGGAGCGGCGCCGTTCAGCCGAGCTCAATCTGCGGACGTAAATTTGTGTCTCTGTGACGGCCGGCCGCCGGGAAGCGGTCATTTCTGGTCGGAGCCGGCCCGTTTGGCTGAGCTCTTCTAAGCCGGCGCGGCGGCCAGTCTCGTTTAGGGGTGTCGGAGAGCTGATGTGAGCGGCCACGATCGCGGCTGAGCCGGCCACTGAGGCTGTGCTGCGCTCTGGTGCCGGCTGGAGTTGTGTCTGTCGGCCTCCAAAGACCTATCCACTGGCGATAGATCGGTTTGAGGTGTCTGTGATCGTGACTGCCAACGGCCGCTAACGTCGGTAGAATCAGGTTTATTGGACGGATCTCGTAAGGTGGTTCGAGTGAACGGTGGGCCTAACGATGTGCTTGAATAATTCGAATAGAGTGTTTCATTAATTTGTGGTGAAGTGTCTTTCAACTTCATATTTCCATCATGTGAATTTGAAATAAAAACTTTTAGTGGTGATGATCATCCCCTCCGTAACTCAGAAAAAAATCGATAGCTCTTATGACAAGAATGCTAAACTTTGACATGCATTAGATCGTTTTCCCTTTAGCTTAATAATTTTCATCCTTGATATTTTATCAAGTATTTTTGTGTACTTTAAAAAGGCACACATTACTTTTCTATTGCAATACTTCTTTCTGCCTTTGTAGCTATCACAGCAAATGCCATCTGCTCTTTCGCAAATCGTTTCTCCATGGCAACGTGGCATGGTGTTGAGAATGTGACTGCCATCCATTTTGTCTTACGACCCAACAGATGGTGCCATTTGCGACGACATCGTAAATCATAGGTCAAAACCATAGCACCATAATACGTTTTGGGCCATACATAAAGGCTGCTTGATGGCCGCTCACTCGTAAGAACATAGTAATGTAAAAGATACCACTTAGATGAGTCGATAATACAGGTATGTAAGCACTTGTACTTACATACCGATATTCTCGACTGCTGAGTTTTAGCACCTTTAGCACCTACAGTCTACACATATGCACACATACCTAACCTATACTGACACATCACCCTGACAGTAGCCACGTGCGCCGCGGGCCGCGGCTGACGTCTGGGCGGCTCAATTCAAAGTTGGCCGTCGCCGGGCCGTCGGTCACTCCGGCTCGTCTCGGCACTGTTATCTTCGTCCCCGGTGGGACTGCTCCGGCGCCGAGCGCCGCTCGGGTGTCCACTGACCTACATCGCCCCGTGCCGATAGCCGGTCCGTGCCGCGGACATGGGGCCGCTGTCCGCTGAGACTGGGGTCGGTCCGTGTCGCGGACATGGGGCCGCTGTCCGCTGAGACTGGGGTCGGTCCGTGCCGCGGACATGGGGCCGCTGCCCGCGGAGACTGGGGTCGGTCCGTGCCGCGGACATGGGGCCGGTGTCCGCTGAGACTGGGGTCGGTCCGTGCCGCGGACATGGAGCCGCTGTCCGCTGAGACTGGGGTCGGTCCGTGCCGCGGACATGGGGCCGGTGTCCGCTGGGACTAGGGTGGCCCGCGCCTCTGATACGACGCCGAGCCCCTGAGACGCATGGGTCGGTCAGTGTTTGTGACACAAGGCCAGTCTACACATGTCGCTGATACCGCGTCATCCGTGCGTGAGACTGTCAGTCTGCGTTATTGACACTTCTTGTGGGTTCTTGTTTGTAACGCGGAGTTGTTTTCTGCCTGTGCGAGTATAGGTGCATCGGTGCCCCTGACACGATATCAGTTGGTGCCATCGCCACGATGCCATTCCTTTCCTCTGACACTTCCCTCGTCTGTATCATTCTCAGGTACGTTCTGGCAGCCGCCCTGAAGGAGATGTCGCAAAAGGAAAACATCACGGAGGCACCCAAGGACTGCAACAACACCGGAGACGGCTGGGAGACGGGAAAAACTCTGTTCAAGTGAGCCCTTCCCCCTCCCCCCGCCGGGCTGATGCGTTCCGTGCTCCGTTTTTCGTTCCGAGTGCGGACGGTCGTTAAGCGGCGACGGTGCGGAATACTGACGACCGTTTAACTGAGTCGCATCTGGGCCCGTCTGATTTACTGGACTTCCAGTCCGCTGGGAGACGGGCTATGGTGTTGCGTCGCGTAAGGCGATTATGTGTGCCGGTAGCGTCCGGCGTGGCGGGGGAGGATTTTATGTCACGAGGGATGCTGTTTAACTAATGTGTTATTGATTATATAGCATTATTTATACTGTTAGAAGTGATGAAGCATCTGCACGAATGGAGGAAGAAATTGTTGCAAAAAATATATGTTTTTTAACCCGCGCGGGGCTGGGGTCTCCAGCCGAACGCGCGGGGCTGGGGGGGTAAATTTTACCCCCCCCCCCCTGTTATCTCCCGAACTAATGGTCCGATTTGGAAAATTCAAACGCCAATCGAAAGCTCTCATCACGAACTACTAGAAACATGTACTTAATTTAAAGTTTGAGGTCAAGGTCAAGGTCAGGTCAAGGGTACAAATTGCAAGTTTCTACAGTATCGGCCTTGCACCGTAGTTGCCGAAGAATGGAGTCATGGACTGAGACTGATCGCCCAAAACGTGTTCTTAGGCTACCAAGACAATATTCGTTGCATACAATATCATTCAGAGGTCAAGGTCAGGTCAGGTCAGGTCAGGTCACCAAAAAACAAAATATAGAAAAGGGCATGTGCGACACATGTTTTATGGGTCATTTTACTCATAGAATTCAATAGGCACACCCAATAAGTGATATGGACCACCTCTGGATGAATTTCAGGTCGAGGTCAGGTCAAGGTCAGGTCAAGTGAGGTCAAATTTTGAAGTTGGTTGTTAAGGCTTAAAAAGGTGTCTATCTGATGCAGTTTTTTTACGGCGAATCGAATGGTGCTATTTTTGTTTCCGTACGAGGTCTAGAACTTCCAAAAAAGTCATTTTTCAAAAAATTTGTGTGTCGTGACGTCATAAAATTTTGAATAACTCCCACATTTTTGAACCGATTCTTCTAAAATTTGGTATGTAGCTGCACATAGACCACTTCTCTGACATATATTCCGGTTTTTTCGATAGACTCAAAATTTTGGATTTTATAATGATTTTCCCAAAAAAGTCAGTTTTTTGAAAAAATTTAGGCCAAAATCCAAAATTTTCAAAAAACCGAGATAGCCATTTGATAGACAAAGTAAAATTACGTATAACCTTTTTTGTTACGTCTTGATTCCTTTAAAAATGAAGATGTTAGCGGCGTTTGAACTTTTGCCGTTTTTGAGGCGAAAATGGCGAACATGACGTCACTAAAACGTCAATTTCTCAAAAAATTTCCGACGGATTTCGCTCAAATTTTCAGGGAACGTGTCAAATTGATGTAAGAAAAGGTACTGAAAGTTTGGCGGCGCTGCGCGCCGCCGTTTTTGAGATATCGCAAAAATTCGCGAGGGGGGGTAAAATTTACCCCCCCCCCCCAGCCCCGCGCGGGTTAAATGATCATAGATCTTCCGCTTTGGTTTGTTTCCTTAATTTCGAAAAAGACATCGCGTAAAACGCGTCAGACAGAATCTTCATCGATTCATCATGTTCTGAGAATTGCAATCTCAGCGTCTGGGAGAATTCACAGCTCGTTTATGAAGTGAAGATAAATCTCCGAAACGCTGGGCAACAAACGCGAACCATTCTTCACGGATCTCATTAATCATACTACTAAAGATCTTTCTAACTCTGAATTACCACTGTTTCTGTTTCAGGTACATTCGTAAACAAGTTCTGTTCGACGGGCAGACGGGAAAAGTCGCTTTCGACGATAACGGAGACCGCATCAATGCAGAATATGACGTCATCAACACAGACAGTACCCGTACCAAGCGGATAGTGGGGAAATACGCCTATTCAAAGGTAAGTCGGCACCCTCTGGTGAAAGATGGTAGTTTGACGCAGCAGCTTGTCGCTGCAGGATTAATTGACAGTGACATGTGCCAACATTTATTAATGCTGGCGATCACTTGGAGAATCTATCGATTTCGCTCCATCTGTGACAGATTGTGTTATTCTATCCCATCCCAGCGATACATCAAAGCAATCGGATGATCCCATAAACTGATTGGCTTAGACACAACGCAAACTCAGAATTGGTTTGATTATGGACACTGTCCCGTGGGAGACCCTGAGACAAGTTTGGTGCACGTACGGATTTCGAAGGAATAACGTATAGTCGGCATCAGAGACATTTCCTCAGTCGAACGGCAAGTATAGACTCTGACTTTTGAATGTTTTGAAGCCGGCCTCGCGCTTCGTACATCCATCGTGCTGTTGTTTGGAAAGGCCGCCCCGGCTGGCTGCAAACGGCCCTCAACACTGAAAGATGGGCGCAGCTCCTCGATGCAGTTACATTGAGCGCTATGAATATCGTGGATTGGATGCAGCCTCTTGCTTTGTTTTGATCGGATTTAGGAAAAGAGCGAGTCTGGCCGACCTATGGGTTCCAAGGACGCAAACATGATCGAGGTCAAACGTCGAGAAAAGGTTTTGGTGTGTGAAACATTGTCTATCTCGTTTCCAGAGATTACAAATCATGCGAATTGGCTTGCAAGAATAAATATTGTTTATCCTAGAAGATCGCATCAGCGCGAAAAGCGCTGGCTTAATCGGCAGAGGATTGGGTGCATTTGAACACATTTCAGAGTTGGTACTCTACTGAGCACCCGCTTGTACCTGGGGGCGGGGGATCTTGTTTCCAACTGAACCAAACCAGGGAGGACCTCAGGGTGGCGTTGCAGTCCAATACCTTACGGTCATTCTCGACTAGTGTCTTCTCTACCTTATTACCATTTCACGTGTTTTCAGTGCTAACTCTGTTGGAAAATTACATAATTCTTCGGAAGGCTTATGCTCTTCGGAAAATAACATCTTTTGTATGATTAGCACCATTCCGCTCGGACGACCTGCTGCGTAGTTGTCCATCCAGCTGTTCATCTCAGCTTAGTATGTACAGCGGCTGGGATTCGTATGCCAGCGAACCGAACATCTTGGGTGGAGTGCTGTGAGGCGGGAAAGATCGGGGATGGACCAATCATGATTCTCTCAATCCTGAAACGGCCACGGGCCAAAAGGACAGTCCGTTGTTGAGCCGATTTGTTGCACACTGACAGTCACAGATGGGCACAAACTGTATCTAAGAGATTGTATTGAAGCTGTATGTCTGCTGCTAATCCAAGTCATGGCCTGACGAGCCCGAATTGCAATCAGTATGCGGCCCACAGGTTACTGATAACACTAATTTTAACCCGATATTTGATGTGCACGTAGGGGCACGAGTCGTTCTCCAACAGGTATTCACCAGTTTCTAGTAGTGTTGAATTTCAAATATCCAGCCGGCGTACTGGTCACAGCGTAGGTACCCGCTCAGTCCCGCTGCCATAACGCAGTTCAACTTTGTGCTGCTGCTCGCTTCTCTCGCTACTCTGGTATATGGTGCACTCATTTCTCTCCTCTGTCGAGTTTATGTCCCGCATCTCTTACCAAAACCACAGCGCAGCCTTTGTCGTCGCCTCTATGCAAGACGCTCACTTCGATAAGCGAACGGCAAGTCCCCAATAGCGTCGTGAACGTCACTGCTGCTCCGTGAACGTTGCAGCTGCGCCGTTAGTGATTTCGGCCAGCAACAGCCTCGTCGGGAAAACTGGCCAATCTCTCCTGAGCAAAAATGGCCTGTCGTTCCTCAGTCGGGAGGCCACCACTCGTGACCCGGCCCGCTCCTCCGCCGCTGGAGATTGTCTTTTGAGGTCGAGTCGGGGTCAACGGGCCTCTCGTCTGAGTGACGAGATTCATTCCGAGTTGGGAGGGTTATTTGGTGTTATTTTAATTAGTTTGGTTTGTGCTGCATTCGTGGTATGATGGAAGGCGGACTTTTCGCCGGAGAATGTGCCACAGGGTCGGTATTATTATTCGGCAATGTTTTATGGAGCACAACTCTGCTCTTGGGTGATTCACGGTGCCTTATAGTTCTTTTACTGCTTTTGTGTTTTTCATTTTTTCATCGTTTATTGCCACAAATAAATAAAACGGAAGAACATACATAAAAGGATTTTTTCTATGCTTCTTTATGTTAATCTCTCTATCCTAAGTTACGTTTCTTCATATAAGCTAAGAAAATGTTCGACATCAATTAGTTATAGTGACTGTGTTTATCCTCATTCAGTCAACAGGCATGTCGTTGACATTGATTGCATTTGCTTATATTGATTGCAAAGCACGACAATTTTCAACTGCCGTTAAATAGTGTGAGCTTACTGAAGCACTAGACGTGATAGTGACGCGCGGGGCGCCGAGATCGACGCGTCGAGCGCCGGCCGAAAACGTCCGCCGGATTAGCGTCAGGGGAGTGGTGGCACAGGTGTCGCCTGAATCATAGATGGACGAACGGGAGACACGGCGCTCAAATTATTTACGAACGACGACAACACGACTCTCACAAATGCCAGCGACACGACCGCTGAATGCGCATGGCGGCTGACGGACCTGGGCTGAAGTATCCGCCAACTAAAGCAGTTTACTCATCATAGCTGTTCGCCACGCTATTATAATAGAACGTTCATGCCTCGGTAATTTCGAAATCAGCCGCGAACTCGTCATTTTCCGACTTATCCCTCGGCGTAGCCATCTTTGGACTATAACAGATGACATTTCGTGCAAGACTGTCACAAGAATATAGTTTGACGTGGGAGAGGGCGGTGGGCGTTGTTTGGCTGTGAGCTGAATCGAGACCGGCTACACGCTGGGTTGCCGCTGAATGAAGTGATGCGAACACTGAGTGAACTAACTCGTCAATCTGCGGACAAATGCGGCCTATTTCTACCCGGAGCACATGGCCCGATTGAAGCCATTCTTCTTTGGCCCGAGAGAGTGCTGATTGCTCAGCGTCTTCCACTTCCCTAGCTCGGAATGAAGCGTGCTGGAGAGTTGATGTGTTAGGAGAGAAGGCGGCGACAAGGCAAGGACCTACAAATCCGCCAACGTTTGATCGGACATTTTCATTGGCGATATTGGTGCTGCACTTCGACGGGAAACATGAGTCACTGGATGTGGGTGAGCGCTGATATACCAGGATGATTTAGCAAGTGTCACGAAGAGCAACTTTAATTGCATTCTCTCTCAAGTAGGTTTCTCAAGACCTCTGACGTATCGGGGGCGGGGACTTACATTGCAGTCTCCAGCCGTGTCGTTCGACCTTCAGGCAACATTATTGGATTGTTTTCAAAGTTATGCGGCAGGTTGGCGTCATACTTTTGTCTCAGTGGGCCAGGCATTGCGGAGTAAGTCAGACAGCTCCCACACAGCTTTGAGCTTGATGTCGCCTTTATATCACATCATATCTCGCTCGAACCGTGACGCGTGATCCAGTGGCACTTGACAAGTGACTCGCTAGCACCTGTCATAAGTTACACTCGTCACGCTATTCCGTACGCGTGTCTGTGAGGATTTGAGGTTCTCAGACGAACCGCTGGGTAGATCTCACGAAGTTGCAGTTATTTCCCAAAGTTGCTCATTGCTCAACGCACAGCACGTTTCCTCAGGTGTTTTCCTTAGCAAAAACATTTGCATGCACTTGATGAGTATTTTCATTTATAGGCTTTTGCTGTGGGTCAGATGCACAACGGTTGCATGACTTACTTTTCTGTCTCATGTTTCATGTTTATACTTCAATTACTGATGAGTCCGGTATGTCCTCAGCGTCTTTGTCTACGCTTATCTTTTTTTACGCACACTGAGAGATTTGTCATCTCTAGGCGTTTCTGAGCAGAGACCGCTTGCCGCTCATCCACATGCTATCGTTCTACCGAGTACCGTCCTGCCTCGTTATTGGAAACTGATCTGACCTTTCGCCCGGCCCTCTATTCTAATCCGAGACACCAATGTGATGGTTCGGAGAGCGCCGGAGATCTCGATTCGGCCATTCATCGGGCGTGCTCTCATTGAAACTCCCGGGATTTCGACTCCGTTCGATTTTACCGTGTCACACGCATACAGCGGCGTGGTGATTATGGGTTTCCGACCTGGTGAATGGGGCACGGTGAATGATGTCTTATTGCGGAGTAGGGTTTAGACAGATTTCAAAGAAGGAATGATGAGGTTATCAAGCACGAGCTCAACTATGTACTGTATGATTGTAGAAGGCGTAGAAGGTACCACGTTGACTAGTAGGAAGAAAATAATTTCTATTTTATGCCTTCTACGAGACTGGACACGGGATAGCCTATTTCCGCTCACAGCTCCGATGCTTCCCACAATTATTCGTGACGAGAGGGCGTGTAGTTGTTACCGTTCCGTTCCGTCCGCCGCCCCACCAGCTCGCACCGTCGGCCGCCCCACCAGCTCGCACTGTCCGCCGCCTCAGCTCCTGGGCACGGATTTCGGATGTGTTCCAAAGCCATGCAATAAAATGCAGATGAGTCTCAAATCCATCGCGAGGCGTTTGTGGGATCCGTGGAAAGCAGATGTGCTGCAAAGCCGCCGGCTTGTGCAGCCTGAGTAGCCACTCGACGGCCAATCGGTCGCCTTAACCCGCGCCCCAGTGGCGGTCTCAGCCAACTTCGCCCTAGTGAGGGGGGGCATATGTTACCACCCACCTCTAACTCAAAAACTAAGAGGGCTAGAAAGACGCGGTAAAAAGCAGTCGATAGCTCTCAATGCGTACGTTTCAAAGTATTTCGGTCATTTTCACCTTAGAGCAATATTGGGGTCACCAGAGGTCATCAAAGGTCAAAATTTGCCAATTGTCATTATATTTTTCAGAAAACATGCCGCTATCTCAGGAACTATGGTAGCTAGAAAAACGCATGGAAGAGCAAACGATAGCTTTTGAACTTTTCTTTTGAAAAGGTTATTATCAATATTGA